CTGCACAACAAGCTTGGAATATGCCGTGAACGGGAGCTTGACGATTGCATATGTAAGCATTAGCAAAGCAATATAGAATATTTAAGCTTTTCAATAACAGAGTTTAACGAGGATTAATACAATAGAGTCTTAGACGAATAGATTGAAAGAAGTTAAAGAAAACTATATCACTTTCAGGATCCGGATCCCGACGTTAGTTGTCATTAGTCAATTCAGAATTCTTCTTAGCTTATAGTTCCTTCATAACGACCAACATTTACATTTCTCCTTGTTCCTCCATCAATATATATTATAATTTGCTATTTTGAGCTTACTCTTTTGAGATTACAACTTGGGAGTCTTGACATCCATTTAAAATTAACTGAGCACTCGCCCAAGACCTTTCTGTAAGGTGCTCACTATCTAAAAGCTTAGAGAAAAATACATCCTAGGGTCTTTGTAACACTTCTGACCTTGATCGAGACCTTTGGAAAAGCCGTTCCCTGGGCAAACTTCCGAGGATGACCTGCAAATACCACCTTCGCCTTATTAAAAGAGAAATGACAGATTTTAAAACGCATTTATTTCCATCCCCAGCCATTAAGAGCAAAAAATAGTCTGCCTGCGATATCCTTGGTGCTTCAGGAAACGCGGCGTCTTCATTTTTCACAGAGGTTTCTCAAATCAACAGTGCCTTTGCAGACCACTCCACGCGAAAAATTGGTATCGAAAGTCCCTGATGCTGATCTAAAACTTAACTACTCTAATCACGGGAGGAGTACTTGATAGAATGTCAGTTAAGGGTCCCGTTCGTAAAAATTCCCAATGCCCCCAGGTATTGCAAATTACAGCTCTTCAGCTAAATAAGCCAATACATTAGCATATTCTCGATTGTTGAGGTTAATTAAGCGTGGCACGAAAACAGGACCAACATATTATGTACTGCACTTCAAAAAATAATATTTATCGAGGTCAAACACCGTTATTACTATCAGGGATCCTGATTAAATGGTGAGTGAAAAATCCACCAAAACTTTTACTGTCCTAAAACCTATTTATTGTGACCTTATATAACACAGTATTTTTTAAATTCCCTCTCAAATTTTTGGGGTTTACGATGTTTTCAACGCTTCCTTCTATGGATCGGGAACTCAGCTCAAAATTTTCAAGCTATCATTATTGCCCTTCGCATTTATTGACCTACGGATCCCACGTAGCGTTAAATTCTTATTTTTCTAATCGATTTTATCGAAAAGTATTCTGGTCTTGAAAATCCGGACATTTATACAAGCTCCAGAGAAACACTAAAAAACAAACGATCATTTAACACATACAGAGACAATTTGTTTGATTCAAAGGTTAGTTTTGGCTGTGTAACCTAACTAGATTAGCAGTCAAGCTACAGAGGTCATGTCCCGAGAGCTACACGTTATCGTTGTGGCAGTCTAACAAATGCCCTAAAATATCCA